TCGTCAGCGGTGCTAATATTTTTGTCATCTTCACTTAACCCAGGGTTGTATCTTTGGAGAATGAGGGAGATTCGCAACAGCCTCAAACAGCTATTTAGCAACTAAAGAAAGAGGTTCTCAATAGGGTTAACCGTTAGCCGTAAAACGACAAAAAAATCTAGCCGTTACGGATAAAAATTGACAAACTTTAAACTTTAGTCGTGAAAACGTTAACCTTAAAAAAATTTTCCTAATTGACGATGTGTCATTTTGAAAGTGTCAAAATCCTAGACCGTTATTTTTTTGGCTTGTGGCTAATACAGTTACTATTTTTACACATTCTATCGTGGAACAGTTGGTTCAGGTGCCTAAAGGCAACTTAATCGGTGGTCACTGTGTTATGAAAAAAGAACTTATTACTAACAGGGACCGTACGATGCAATATCGGCTCGAGATCGTGATTGTACGTAAAAAAACAGCTGAGGGCTAATATTCCTCAGTACGGATCGAGCAAGAAAGATTTATTTGGCACTTGGACAAACTCATCTGTCTTGAATTTGCCTGCTTTCGCTAGCAAAAATAGACGGCTTACGACCGTTCTGAGCGTTTGAATGTTCCTCAAGACTGCCTAGGCGCAAAGTTTGACCGTTAGCCGTAAAAGCCATCACTCTAGTGAGATTCTTAAAAAAAAAATCCCTTTCAGCATGTTCATCATGGTCAATTTCATATTTAATTTCAAATGGTTTATGGACAATGCATTTGACTTGTGTAACTGAACAAAATTGGAATATGTTTACCCACTTTTTACACATACTTGTATACAATGGATGTCAAAAATTGATGGCGGGAATACATGGACCCACAGATAGCCTGCAGGCAATGCTCCAGCTGTTAAAAATGCAATACAAAGTACAACCGAAAAGCAAATTGAAAAGCAAAATTAATGACAAAATGTAGAATATTGCACTCATGCTCTAGAGGCTCACTGTCTGACACATTAGTTTGACCAAGGGTGAGGAACGTAGTAGCGACTGACTTAAATCTTTAGCAAAGGAGCGGGTTTATCAAGATTGTTTTTAAAGCTTCTCTGTTCAGCTAGGATGCCAAAGTTACGGTTCATTCTGGGTTCATTCCTCTCATTTCGAAAATTTTTTTGGTACAACATGCATTTTGTGACAAAAAAAAGCATTCAAGAACAGATTTTTTGTGGATCTTCACCTCTATTCGTTGTTTTCTTTGTATTGCTCTGCTTAAATTTCAACTTCCTTTCTCAACTTTAAAGAAAATTACCGTATTCACAAGTGGAAGGCTTCCTATCAGTTCCCATTAAAAAGTCATAAAATGAGATAAATCTAACATCAAGTTCAGTCCTATATTTAGTTTTGCGTGGCATTATTGCATTCGAAAGAACGGGTGAAAATCTTCGAGAGGAGAGGAAACCTGTTCATTTTGCTTAAAAACATACATCTAAAGGCTATTGAAGGGAAAGATTACAAAAGCCACGCTTATCTAAATATATTTCACTTCCTCTGCAATTAAATCATATATTTATTGGCTTTTCCGTGTTTTCTTATGGTAGGCAGTAAATTTAATGTTATCAACCCCAAATAAACCGGATAAAACTTGAAAGAAAGATCATTAATAATTAAAACCTTTCTATGAGATGAAAAAATAAAAATTGTGAATGGTATAATTATGTTCTTTATTTTTCAATAAAGGTACTTTCTTTAGAAGAAATAGTCTTAAAATTAATTGCAAAAAAAGTAGAAAGTAAAACCAAGATAGTGGCTAGTTGATCGTTTGTCAGCATTTAAGAACATACATTTTGCGTCACTCAGCTGAAACTCAGTTATGCAGTAACTTGAGGCGAAATATATTTAGAGTAAGACCTGTAGCTGGACTCAGAACCTTATCTAATTTAAGCTACGTCAAAACTGCGAAGGCAAGATTTCCGTTGCATGCAGTTCTTTGATAAATATAAAACAATGACGAGAATAATAGACTATCTGTAGGAATTGGGCTTTGTTTTAGATTGGAGCGAAGTTGAACGGTTATCTTTCCTGGTAAACTACACAACACTTAGTATAATTAAATGGCCTGTGAAAGGTTTATGCGAGTATGGAAGTTTTATTTTAGACATGTGTTTATTCATGATTAACATTTTTTACTTTTCGAGAGAGCAATCGGTTAAGCGGTAGCTTGAGGGGAATGACATTTAGAGTAGTACCTGTAGCTGGATTCAGTCTCTAAGTTTCCTCTATCCTATTAGTTAATTCCTTTTACCTTGTGATTCTATTCTCATGCAAATGAAGACAGAAATCGAGTGCGAGTAAATAAAAATATTAAAAAAAAATTAAATGTTCAAACGTTATTTCATTTTGGATCATTTTAAAAGCAAAGGCTGTTCTTATCAGCGTGATTCATTTTTCCACTATATGTATGAAACGTAAAGTTCATAAGTAATCAACAAATTTCCATTAAGAAAGATTCCGGAAATCAAGCGGCGAGGTAAACACTGCTATCTTCAAAACTTGTTTATGCATGTATTGAATTGATCTGTTTGATTTGAAATGCCACCTATAGGAGATTAAGATAAAAAATGACTGGAAAAAAGAAAACAGCGATCTAAGGCTGAGCAGTGCAATAAACAAGTAGTGCTGCATATATGTAACGAGCAGAAACGAAGAGCTATCGAGCAGAGAAATTTAAGGGGTTAGAAATAGTTTTCATCGATATTGCAGTTAGCTGAAATAAATCTCTAGCTCTATTTTGGTGCAAGAGGTTATTTCGCATGAAGTATTTTCGTGCTGTGCTTTATCAAGAATTGGATCTTAACGTTCGCCATTGAAGCTTCATCATGCTGAATAACACGACTTGTCCTCTCTACCAAGGCGATACTCTGGGTAGTACAGTAAAATTTACAGCATCGTTGGTCATTGCTGTTTTATGTCCCGTGGCAGTGGTTGGAAATGCGTTGATTTTGGTGACGATTTGGAAGAAAAGTTTTTCGAGAACATCGTTCCATATTCTTCTAAGTGGATTGGCATTGAGTGATTTTTGTACCGGTCTGATCGCTTATCCTACCTATGCTTCTTATAGTTTGATATTGTCAACAAACTCGACGGTTGTACGAGATACACCACAGCCAACTAATGTCTTAGGAAAAGTCACTGTGATCAGTGTAATTTACTTGGTCACCATTACGTTTCTGACAATAACACTGATGTCCATTGAACGATGGTTGCACATGTCTGGAGGATTCTCTTTCACATCTCATCGCCGATTTTTGGTTCTTGTCGTGATCTTGTTTCTTCCAATTCCTTTGGTTGCTCTTTACTTTTTAAATCCATCCTCATTCCCCATAGTAATATCAATAGAAATGTTTATCAGCTATTGTATTACATCTTTCGCTTATTTTAAGATCTATCGAATTATTCGAAGTCATCAGAATCAAACTCATGCTAACAGGATACCTGGGAACTTTGGCCATTCTGCAATAGACGTAACCAAATACAAAAGATCTGTTGCAACCATCTTATACATTTTATTGCTATTCTCTATTTGTTTCTTGCCTTTTATTGTATCTAACACGGTAAATGTTTTGATAAAGGCTGGTCCCAGAGAGCTGAATATAACTACTGACGTGACGATGGTGCTCGTATTTCTGTCTTCGTCTCTCAGTCCAGGGTTGTACCTTTGGAGAATGAGAGATATCCGTAATGGTTTCAAACAACTATTCGTTCGCAGAAGAAACTGATTTTTTCAACATTTTCATGGCTTAAGGCAGGACATTGGATCCTAGTCAAATTATCTGTTGTTAACACATCTAGTCAAAAACTAAGGTTTGGTCAATAAAACCTCAGGCGAATGAACTTCCATCTAGGCTGCTTCTAGTCGCCACTCAACCATTTTTTAGCGATTCTCTCTCTGTTATTTAATTTTTATACAATCTGATTCAGAAAGCGTTCAGATAAAGGTTTACCCCAATGAAGTGAATATAACTACTGACGTGACAATGGTGCTCGTGCTTCTGTCTTCGTCTCTCAGTTCATGGTTGTACCTTTGAAGAATGAGGGATATCCCGAATGGCCTTAGACGACTGTTAGCTAGATAAAGAGCCCGATCTTTTCAAGACATTAAAAGTGATGTATTTATTGCCAAAACTGTCCAGCACAACTTTTGTAAATATTTATTTCTTCCCCTATAAAATTAATTACGTAAACAATGACTTTCGTGAGGGATATACCATCCTATATTTGCATTCATCTTTAAGATGCATTAGCTATAACGATTAGCTAGAGATCTGAATTGCAAGATAAATTAATAAAAAATGAATTTATGATCAGCTTTATTCTATTTTAGATTACTTGGAAAACCATCAGTCCTCTTGTAAACTTACTGATAGCATTTGTTATGAAAAGGTTACGGAAAACAGTTGCCGAGTAATGACATTTATTTATCATAGACAGATTGTGTTTGCACCTGGCTCAAGATGGTTTATAAAAACCTCACCATACCCATTGAAACCTGTGTATACAAATAAAACCCTTGAATTCTTAAATGAAATAACTTGAAAGCCCGAGGAACTCCTGAATGACATTGCATTTTCTCTCAACGCGACGTCACTGAGTAATCAGTAAAAGTTATTGTTTTGTATATTATTGTCGAGATGGCATGTCAGCAGTGCGTTTGATTTAAAAGACGTCTGTATTCAAGTTCATCAAGATGCATTGTAAACCTTGGCTAGAAAAACCATCAATTATTTAAAGCCGAACAGAAAGTCAAACGAACCGTGCCAAATTAGCGCTGTATATTTCTCGACAAAAAACGAACTGAAACACCGTCGGGCAAATCGTTCAAGCCTCAAAACAAATCTTAACTGACGCCACAGTCAGCTGTTTCAAGTCGCTCGGGCTGTGGGCACAAAAATAAGTTCTACCTCGTGAGCTAATTATTTTTGGGTGGTGGCTTTAACAAGATATCCGATCGGCAACCGTCACATTCATCACTGAAGCTGCACAATGTCCGTGAACACTTCTCGTCATCATATGTTTACTGAACAAAACTCTACGTCTCCTAGTTTTTTCGACGACTTCAGCGACAAAAACCTCGATTCCGCTGGTAGCAAACTCACTTTCTCGACAGCAGTGGTCATCGCTCTCCTATCAGTCCCAGCAGTAACGGGAAATGCGTTGATTTTAGCCACTATCTGGAGGAGGACTTTTCTTAGAACATCGTTCCATTCTCTTCTTAGCGGATTAGCAGTCACTGACTTACTAACAGGACTTATTTCCCAGCCTTTGTACGCTTCTTTCCACTTGATAAATAGAAAAAACGCGACAGTAAAACAAGATAATCATGAGGTAGTAAGTGTCCTTGGAAAAATCGCTGGATTTAGCACCTACCTCTTTGTCAACATCACTGTTGCTACCATGACAGTAATGTCCATTGAGCGGTGGTTGCATATGTCTAGGAGATCTCTTACAACATCCCATCGCCGATATTGCGCTGCTATCGTAATATTACTCTTTCCAATCCCTTCACTAGTTGTCTACATTTTAACTTTTAGGGAACCGGCGTTTTGGTATACCTTATGTAAAATAACAATTGCAACATCTTCGTTTTGTTATCTCATCATATCGTTCGCCTATTTTAAGGTTTATCAAATTATTCGTCGTCACCAGCTTCAAACTCAGGCCACTGTAATATCTCAGAACTTTGGTCAACCCGCAATAGACTTGGCAAAGTACAAGAAATCTGTGGCAACCATGCTGTATATCTTTTTGCTTCTTTCTATGTGTTTCTTACCTTTTTTTGTATCTAGTGTGTTATCTTTATTAATTACAGGTGAGGTGAAACAAAGCTCTATAGACCTGTCAATGGTGCTCGTATTTCTGTCTTCGTCGCTCAACCCAGGGTTGTACCTTTGGAGAATGAGGGACATTCGTAGAGGTCTTAAACAGCTATTAGCTAGCTTAAGAACATAAATTTTATCAACTTATCAAAATGGTTCCTTGGTCTGAGTAGAGTTACTCGTAGAGACACAACTGAACTAACTAGCGTGCTTCCGATAAACCCTTAAAAAAAACGCATTTAAATACACATGGCTATTCCAACCCACAAGAAATTCAAATTTCATGTTTGACGCAGTTCTTTCTAAAACAAAGTAGAAACATTTTTTTTTGTCCTACTAAGGCTTTTGTTACGTACCGCCGATTCTTAAATATACCTGCAAAAATAGCTAATGAACTGAACGTAAAATTTTTACTTTGTTCTACAATATTCTTTGTGGCGTTCACGCGTATTTCCAAGGAGCTGTATAAAACTTCCTACGAGATGGTACATAATTGTATTTGGCTCTAAGGTCAGCTGTCCCAATAATTCAAAGTTGTAATTGCGGATGGAAACGACAAATGTAAGCTCAGCAACTACAATAGGTTTTGAAAACATGAACCAAATGATATTTGCGAAGCAAAAATCATAAATAATTAAAAATGTTATCAAGTAATTCTACTCATAAACAAATCTCTAAAGGAAAAGAAGAAATTAAATTTGTAATTTAATCTCATCTCAGTTTATGTTAACAACTTCAAGGGGTCTTGAAAGGATAGTAATTACTCCCAACATGATATCAATAAGTAATCAACAAAAAACTCTCAGCTTCAATAAAGAAATCCATGTAAAAAAACTAAATGTTTTGTATGACTGTCGAGATGGTCTGATTTGAGAGATATTTGAAGCAAATCGATAAAAAGGTGACTGGAATAAAAAAAAATTAACAATTTAAACTTGAACATTAATAAAACAAACCGAGGTTAATATCTAAAAAACTGTTGGAAAAATTATTCAAGCGGTTCGCGGCAGCAAGTCACCACATTGTAGATGTGAAAGCAGTTCCTATGCATCATTTTTGGCTCGTAGGTTTAGCAAGAAATCTAATTGAGATTTTCATGCTTACTCCCCAAGCTACACCATGTTCAAAAAAGCGAAAGTCGGTTTTTTTATGCTCTTTAGACGACCACAACAATAAAAACCTCTATTCCACTAATAATACATTTGATATTTCAGTGGCAGCGGTAGTGGCAGCGGTGAAGAATGGGTTATTCTGGCGACTATTTGGATGATGAACTTTGCGAGAACTTCGTTCCATATTTTTTCTAGTAGAATGGCTAGGACTGACTAATCGGTGGGCCCCTTCGTGCTTTGAGCATATTGGTTAAAGCTTTTTACAGGTTCGAAATTGTCACAGGATAATCCAGTGCTATTTGTCCGCAGTTCGTGAAGCTTTGTCTTTTTCGTCCCTATTACTATTGCTACCATGACTTTGATGTCCGTTGAAAGTTGCATGCAGATGTCTCAAAGATCCTCATTATTCCTCAAGATTCCAACCATTGTCCTTTCATTTTTATGTACAAAAGATCTAGCTTTTTTTTTAATATATTGTTAATAGCGATGAAATCAGAGATTTCATTTTGTTTTCGTGGGACAGTGCTCGCTTATTTCAAAGTTTACCGAATTATCCGCCGCCATTATAACCAAATTCAAGGCAGCGGGCTTTTTCAGAACTTTAGTCCACCCTCAATTGACTTAGCGAAGTACAACAAACCTGTAGCATCTATGCTATGTATTTTATTGTTATTCTCAATTTGTGTCTTGGCTGGTAAGAGAAGACGAAAGGACAGTTCTCTACCATGGCGACAGTCAGGTGCTAATTGTTTTGTCATCGTCTTTCAATCCAGGGTTGTACCATTGGAGGATAAGAAATATTCGTAATGGTGTAAAACCGATCTTCAGAACGTTAGGTAAAAGTAATTTCCGAAAAAGTGTATGAGAGTATTAATTTCGTAGAGGTTTTCATTAAGAGACTTTCTTGATAAAGTAGCCTTATAATTTAATTCACATTTTAAGTTATACAGTAAATTTAATACAAAGTTTAATCAACTTCCACATTTTTCCTTTGGGAGTTTAGTATAAATTTGAAAGGGCTGTTTTAGATTTTCTTAACAATCTGTTACATACGAATTTAGTTGGACGGTCTCAATTACTAAAAAACTAATTTCGAACACCAATGTCAAAAACTATCTCATCAAAATGAGGACATGGTGTGTTATTTAATTTACAAGACTGATTATGCTTACATTTATAAGTGTTAGGGATCTACAATACGCTTTGAATGTTTAGTTATCTAAAAAAAATTACTAAAACAGAAACAGCATGCGGGTGCAAAAGTTAAACAATATATCCGTTTGAAAGACTGCACTAAATTTGATTACTTTCTAAAAGGCAATTGATAAAAAATCAGCTCATCCCTCGAAAAAAATTTAGTGTAGAGCGACAACCTTCGAGGTTCATCCGATAATCACAAAAAAGACTTTTATTCTAACGTTCATTTCAAAAGCTTCATTAAGCTAAGAATACATGTACAGCGTTATATAACTCAAGATAACCTGGTGTTATCAACTGAGTCTATGGTGTAAACGCCACCGAAAGAGTTCCTAAGTCTAACGTTTCAAGCGGTAGCCCTTCGTGAGCGCAAATGTATGACTCAAACGACTACAATTGGAAAAACAATAACAACTTTTGTTCCGCAGTTATTTATTCACACGCAGTCGCTATCGCTTCTTTATCACCTTTGGCTGTGTTGGGAAACGCAATCATTTTGGCGACAATTTGGAGGAGAACTTTTCCACGAACAACCTTTCATATCCTTTTGAGTGGAATAGCATTAAACGATCTTTGCACAGGACTCATTGCTCAGCCGTGTTATGCAGCGAGCTTTCTAATATCTCCAACGAAGCATTGTAAGGTAAACGATAATCCAAAGCTTGCTGCCTTGAATACAATAGGCGAAGCAACTGCCTATTTCTTCGTCTCCATTACCATTCTGACCATAACAGCGATGTCCATTGAGCGATGGCTGTACATGTCTCGAAGATCCTTCATCACATCCCGTCGTAGATATTTTACAATAATTTTGGTGCTATTCCTCCCTACTCCTACCGTTGTAATTCGGGTTTTAATGCAACACAGTTTCCATTATGAAAAAGTATTTAAGATAACTACAATCTCACAAATTTCATTTGGTTATATAATCATATCAGTCGCTTATTATAGAGTTTTTAAGATCATCCGAAATCATCAACAGCAGATTAAAGCCAGCGAAGCTTCATCTCAAAGATTTGGTCAGAATGCAATTAATCTGAAAAAATACAAGAGATCTGTAGCCACCATGATATATATTTTATTGCTGTTCTCTCTATGTTTCATACCATTAACTGTGGCTGTTCCTGTCGCTTACAGTACACGTTCAAAAGCTGGAATGGTCGCCGAAAGTGTGTCTACTGTGCTTCTATTTCTCTCTTCTTCTCTCAGCCCAGTTTTGTACCTTTGGAGAATGAGGGAGATTCGGGCTGGTCTGAAGCAACTGTTAACCATACACAGGTAGAAATTCGTATCAACTTTAAGTGACACCAGTTTCTTTTAATCATTCCATTTCGACTGCATTATGCTACAATTTAATGCCACCACAAAAATTGTGTTTCCGCAGATATATAGTTCATCTACCTGATTTAATGGCAGCGTTTATCAAAATTTATGAAAAAAATGTTAAGGAATCTGTAGAGAATCAAGGTTGTCTTAGTAACCGTTGGAAAACCACTGGGCATGGGTTATTTTGAGGAACACAACGAAGAAAAACTCCCATGATATTATTCAGAGCATTTATATGATGTTTTCTTGTCTTTTTAAGTTTACTTGTAAAGTTATCTTGTACAGTCATGATAATGATAGCAGTAAATACAATTATAACGCCAAGATACAAAATAAAATGAAACTATTTCATTTAATAAAAACCCTGCCCTGATGTTGGTTCTTGCATGATGTTTGAAGTTCCGTGAAGCTTGATATTCCTTGCAAAGCATTCGAAAATGAAATGAAGGTTCTGTTTATATGAAAAGCTAAATTATTCATGCACTTTGACTGGTTCATAGATACATATCATCTATTGAAAGACAGACACATAACTGAAACCACTATTTACAATATTTTGCTTTGTCATCATACAAAACAAATAGATTCCATGTTGCCGTTAGTCTGTACAGTAGTAGATCACAGAAGACGTCAAAATGGGGTAAGAACATCAGTGACATACTCGGCTGCTTCTCGTCAGTGAGTCACGTTTTTGTTCTAATCTCCTTTTGGAGTCATCAGTGGTTCATCACGAAATACGCCCACGGCACCAGGGCTTTTACTTCTCATACATTCCACTGTAAGTTATAGAATTGAAGTTTAGTAATTGGACATGTTGAGCTGGCTCACGTTTCGTTTGGGTATTAGTGCATTGCTGCAGTCCCAGATCCCTTGTATTGTGCTCACGGAGCTTGTCACAACCGAGAATGTCTCTAAAGCCTTTTCGAAAGGATTCATTAAATACCGCGTAGACAAAAGGATTTACTGCACCGTTGAATATCTTCAACAAAATGATAAAAGGAATCAGCCATATCGGTGCTTTCATCGCTAGCTGCTTTGCGAATAGATGCAGCGACGAAAAAACAAATTGTGGCGCCCAACATATGAAAAAGATGACTATCACTGTGATCATCATAAATGTGACTCTTCGCGCCGTGCGATTTGCTATTTTCTGTTGCCGGGCATTGAATTCTCCTGGCACCTTCCTCTTCCAGAGACGATAACTGATCAGGGGATAAAGAACTGACATTAACGCAAACGGTAGTAGAAAACATGACGCAAGTATAATGAAATTGGCATGGGATATCGTAGCACTACACGTAGTGTCGCCTGACTGACTGGGTATTTCATCTATTTCTAACAAAGTACCAACGGGCAGCAGAAAGGACGTTGCCCATATGACCGGAATGGTTATTTTGGTCCACTTTGACCAAGGCTTGTGTTTCAGGGGTCGACTAACTGCCATGAAGCGATCTATTGTTATACCAACCAAGCTAAAAATACATGCAAGAAAGGAAAC